CTCTCTCCCCCCCCCCCACCCCACCCACCAAGTTTACTATATTCGCTCCAATTAAAACAGCGCTTACACGCACTGAACGAGTCCCTTGTTGAAACGTATGAAAAAGAAAAAAAATTTTGTATTATTGAAAAACAAAATTTTTATCAATAACGCTAATAGACACATCGACCATGGGCGTGCACGTATCGATTGAAAACAGAAATAATTTACACGGCAACGAATAAAGTCAGCGTAAAATTTCGCCGTGGCCTAGATCCAACCTGCAGCGGATTCGTATCCGATGTTATCAAAACATCTGTACAGCGAGAGTGGCTCGCGGATTTGTCATAACAGTGGTATGTTTTTTTAATGCTGCAAACAAATTATAATACCCAAGGGAGATATCGAGCTTCGTCCGATCTCGTATTACGAAATTGCGCTATGAGCGTATTGCTCATAGCGAGCGTCACACGTCATCGATGCTGGACGTATTGTCCAGCGTGTCTAGAGGGCACAGAAAAATTAAATGAAAATGTCTCTGATGTATGATTATTATTATTATGAATAACAAAAAAAAATGCGAATTTGAAGTTTCTCAAAAAAAAAAAATGAATAAAAGTAAAAATGAAAATCGAGATAAAAGAGACGTGCACCCGAGGCGCGAACTACACGTTTTCCTTGAGATTCCTGAAAGAGCACGAGGTACCGGGAGCAAGAGTTATTCAGCCCCGATAAGCGAAATACGATCGCCGAGTGACATCACTTCCAGGCAAAGGGAGAAAAAGTATCGTCGTAGTCTTTAACGTCCAACCGAGAAAACAGATACTCGTCATCTTATTCGTCTTCTTTTCTCACATCGCGTCTTGTCGCTTTTATTCGAGCAGGACACGAGGAAGTAGGACTTTCGCTTCGACCAAGACTCCGAATCCCGGCCAGTCAGCAATTGGAAGTTTGGGCAATCGCTTGCAAGAGACGGTGAAGTGCCGTAACACGTATGCTTATATAAAAAAAAGATTACGAAAGTCAAGAAAAATTCGCTGACAATCGATCAACGTTAAGCAATCGCATTATTCGTCTCTAGAATGACAAATTTTCAGTCACACCCATTCGCATGATTTTACATACCCCACGTGGTTACCCATCCAAAAGAACCACTTTTCTCGTACAAGAAAATTACGAATCTACAAAATTTCGTGGCGAAAATAAATTTTTGTCATAAAAAAAATTCCTCACAACAAAGAATCGTCGATCGCCGCGATCGAAGAGAATTGTCTCTAAAAAAAAAAATGCTCGTAAAAAAATTTCAATCGCGACAAAGAGAACGAAAAGTGCATGCACGTCCAACGTGCGCGCCTAATCTAATAAAAAGCGTCGAACGTAACACGAAGTCCCAAGTAGCTAAGAGCAAAAAGTCATCCGTAAATACGTCTGCATAATAGCAGATGCGGTCTGGTAAGTATCGCATGGCAATCTCCAGTTGCAGTCAGGTGTGTTGGCAAACGGTTTGTGCTTATCGCAATCTCTATGCTCCTTTACCACCTCGTTGCACCACCCCAGCGCACAGTAGGATAATCGAGGAACAACACACAGAGACACGGACAAGCCATACCCATAATGGTATCAGTAAGTTACAGGGGATGGAGGTGGAGCGGGAGTCGTACCCAGCTAATCAGGGGAGATCGAATAGCCCAAGGGGTTCCTACCGAGCGAACAAGCCCCATATGCTCGGGGCACGTGCCTCGTAGGGGGGGTACAATTAGCAAAGAATTTAAAGAGCAAAAGTTTCGGTATCACGGTATCAACCCCTGACCCTAATTTTCATCCGAATTTTGTCAAATTTTTTTTTCCAAAATCCACTTCCGATATATTTTTTTGTTATCATTAAAAATGATAAAAAAAAAAACGAAAATTTTTATCTTCGAGCTGTCGTACCTATTTCGGAATACGGTAATCACGCTGACTCTCGGAGTTCATCTTATCGACGATGCAGTTTGTGCGGTTCGTAATCGTGGCTGAATGACGACTTTGGTACAGGGGG